ATCCTGCCTTCAAATATTACTTCACTCTCAGAGGCTCACAGACACCCACATACCGGTGGTGAGCTTTCACTGGGAATCCCCAGCAGCAGCTGCCTCAGAGTCGCCTGTTGTGGGGTTTCCCCTGCTCTTTGTGGCGGCTGGACGTAGATGTTGGCGTTTTTCAAGTACAAACTGCAGGCTCCAGAATAATAAAAGCAAACATATTTTGCCAGCAGGTTTCGACTTTTTAAGTGAATTTAGGCATTAATTATCTCTTTCAGTGGAGTGATCATATCGCTCTGCATCAGCAGTGCTGCCACCTTCCAGATCAGCTTCTCTGATTGGTTAATGCGGCATGTCGAGCACCGAAAGTTAAAATTTCTACAACTCCATCATCTTTGCTCAAATTTGAACATTTGAGCAAAGTTTCCTGGGGAAAACAGGGCGTACTAAAGCTGTACATCCCAAAAACAGGACGTACAATTTTTTTAGTAAAGGGCATAAAATGTACGCTCGTAAGTATTGCTAGCTAAAAACATTTTAACAGTTGAAGTTTCCGTGTTCTTGCTCTAAAAGACTTCTCTAACCTTTGGTCTTCTTTCTAGAGTTTCCATTTTAAAAAACATTAAAACAACACATTTGACATTGTCCTTTAACACTGAAAAAGGAAGTCTGATTGTTAAAGTGAATGGGTGTTGTTTATTTTCCAAACATCTTCATCATTTGACTCAGAATATCTCAGGATTAAATCATTACCGCATCAAGGGAAACATGATGAAACCACATAATTATTAATGGATGGACTGTTTCCTTCCCTTTTTTATGTTTTAAAGCTGAAGCAATCATTTGCAAGCTTTTTATGCCAACAAATGCCCCTCTTAGCCCTTGAGGAAATTCCCCCATCTTTACAGGAAAGGAAACCTTAACAGATAAGGAAAAAATAAAATGACGATATTTCATAAAGAAAGAGACGTTTTTAAGCTAAAGGGCTTAAACTGTCATTAGATATTTTTGGAAATATTGTTAAAAAATGTTGTTTTGTGTTGGGTTGTGTTTTACAGAAGCAGTAGAGCCTGCAGGAAGTTGGCAATTAACTTAAAAAAAAAAAAAAAAGGGATTTCCCAAAGAACACACATTAATCATGAACTGTTTTTACAGTCTGAGGGTCATTACTTAGTGAACAAGTGGTTTTTGTTCCCTTTTATCTAAACTATTTAGTTTGTTTACTCCATTTATAATGTATGGTTAAAACACAGGTAGTCAAATAGTTTAGAATGGATTAATGTTTGCCTTTATATTTAGCACAGGTATTAAATATCAGTAAAGATGTGTATGTTTTTTACTAATTCACTCACTGAAAAGAGCTTTTCTTTTTATGATTGATTCGTCTATGTGATGGTTCTCCCCTTTTGGGACTCTGAGTTTTTAGTTTTTCTGTTTTTTTAAATCTCTGTTTCCCCGTTGTGCTTTTTTCCTTTCCCCTTGCTTCCTTCTAGTTAGTTCCACTCACACCTGCTCCTTATTCAGTCCATCCTTTGTTCTGTTCCCCTTATATACTCCACCTCTGCAGTCACTCAGTGCTGGTTCCTTTTTGTTGTTTATTGCTTCCTCATCTCTGGCTCCCTACGTCATTTTCCCTTGATGTTTCTTTGTATTTTGCCTCAGTTACTCATTAAATCTACAAAATTCGCCTTAGAATTTGGGTCCTCAACCAACCTCCACATAAAACGTGACAGACTACTTACATCAACATAGATGAGGGATTATTTGTTTGACTTTCCTAGGGCTGGGTAAAGAAATAGATTCAATCTATTTTGGATCGATTCCTTTACATTTTAGCAAAATCGATTTGGGAATGAGATCGATTAGTTTTATAGTGACACGCGTGACGTTCACATTGAAATG